TCTCACCGGGACCGGTTCCAAGAATTGCTTCTTGTCTCGTGTCCTGAGAAATGCTTTTCATCTCGAGACCAATTTCTCTTCTCGCCCCGCAGTACGGGCAATCCACTTAGCGAGAAGGCCGGTCGTGGCGGGGATCTAAACTAGGCTAGCCCTGTTGTGCAGGAGCAGGCGGTGAAGGAAGGTAGGGAGATCTAGGCCTAGGCCCTGATCAACTCCCCACTTGCCTCGTCTCGCCACCCTCTCCCCTCCCTTTCAGTTTCACACACAGGACGGCACGGTGATGGGTGGCACTGTCTGCATGTCATTTCTCGCCTCTCACTCTCTCTCTCTCGTTACTGTTACTCGTTATGTCAAGCCAACGAGCAGTATCACTTCTCGGTACCGGGCAGTAGTTTAGTGCCCGGGCAGCGACGGGAAGAGCATTTCTCGCGAGAAACGAGTACTCGGCTCGTCTCGTGCCCGCCCCTAGTGAAAGCAGCAAGCAAAGAAAAAGGTCAAAGAATAATTTCACAAAATAAATGGGTAAGAGTTTGTGTACTTTACTTTGTTGTATATTCGTACATTCCCAGCACGGGTACGCTTAGTTTCCCCAGTGGACACATTATATTGATGATGCCATTCATAAAGTGCCCTACACCATGCATATTCGTACATTCCCAGCATAGGTACGGTACGTTTGGTTTCCCCAGTGGAGACATTATATTGATGATGCCATTCATAAAGTGCCCGACGCCTAAAATACAAATTGTTATTTTACAGGAAGGGGGAAGAAAGTCAGATTTCCCCTTTTCACTACTACTGCTGTTCATGGGGTGCGATAGTCTTTTAGATTTAGCCCAATATTTTTACTTGTGGAGTAGAAGCAACTGCTTCTTCATGAACGTTTTTCCCCCACGATGAATAATATACAGAATTTTCTTGTTTTTTTGCTTAAATTGGGAGTGCGAGGGGGGGGGGAAGGGGGAGGATATTAGGTAGGCCAACATGAAATGACATTACCATTATAATAAACGCTTTTCATGCTCCCTACCCTATCTCTTGGCCTAAACCACTTACTGCACACAAAAATGTCAGCCACAGATTTCCCTTCCTATATAATGTTCAGAAGTGCGTGTGAAGTATGTCTCTGACCACATAATGAAGGAAATGTAGCCCAAAGACCATGTTTTCTTGTGTCTTGTGAGACACCAAACTGTTCTGACATTACACACAAGGAAGATGTCAGCTTTACCTACCCTACAGTTGGACACAGTATACGAACTGGTCATTATAAATGTAAAATACCCACTTCAATCTTGTCAAATTTAAGGGACCACACATCCCAGAGATGTATCTGAACATGTAAGTTATTTCTGGAATAAATGCCTGATTTAAAACAAATTATTTAGATGAAAAATATCAGTCTATGTGAAGGAAAATATGAGAATAAATAATATTATAACATTGCTACACATTGTTTGAAATATTGATCACACAACCACACAAACATCCAATACATCTCTGACAACCAATATAACACACGGAGCTCTCAGTACCTCTTATATAATGTTCCCTGAACTTGTGCACTCACAAACACACAAAACATGTAACCACAATCAATACAAAACAGGCAACCACAAACAATACAAAACATATCAAGGCACTCATAACAAACTTACAGCTGCTCAAAAACATAACTAGTTTTTACATCAGATATTACAAAACAAAAATCTATTCAGCTCAGTGTAAATGAACGGTAAGCTTATGTGACCTTTATCTGCATGCTTTTCAACACATCAAGATAATGATGCAGGCACTGCTGAACATATTTCTTTCCATATATTTGACTTTTAATTCTAGAAACTCACAGAAACCATCACGATTCCTCAGTGTCTGATAAGTCAAACTTATCATCTATCGCTTGAAAGTTTAAGCAAGAAAGTCAAATTCTTTTAAGAAAACCACATTAACTCTTTTAGTAATATTCAGTCTAAACACATTGCTGCACTTCACGAGATTTCCGACGTCTGTGAACTAGCTTGGAGACAATTCACAAAAAGTTCACTCAAATTATTGAAACAGAAACTTTAGGATCACAGTATTAAACACTTAAATTGTTTGTAATAATATTATTATCGAACAAAAGGAGTAATTTGTGGCTGAAACAATGAATTACATTTTAAAAATGAGCTCACTCTATTGACAGAAATAATGATATCAAGAACAAGAACAACTCACATCTAAAACTGTAAGGGATTCACAGATATGAGAAAACTTCTAATATACAAAAATGCAGGAATAGGATGGGGGGAAAATGTTGGGCTTGAAGGGAGGGGAGGAGGTGGGAAAGGGGGGGGGAGCGGGAGAGGAGGAGACTGATACTGCCTAAGGCAGAAGTACAAAAGTAAACAATACTCAATAAAGAAAAGAAATATTGTTTCACATCTCTGGCACATTCACTCTCTGGGTTACATAACTTACATATATGACACAGTCACATTCTGCAACTTTCAAACTGAGAAAATCTTCTCTTAAAAAGTTGCGAAAAGGAAAATATCTTAGAATTTAAGACAAATCAGACCAAACCTTCATTCTTCTCGACACATCTCCCGGATCTTTTGAGTTAAATACACTGCTGCAAACAAACTCGGCAAGAATTTGAAGAAATTATCCTATTCTTGTGTGGCAAAACTCAGAAGAAACAGCTATGGCTTCAACTGTCACGTTATTATACTTATACAAGGACGTTGTCTCTTGAGGAAGAAGTATCCAAACCTTACTGGGCTGCATCAACTGAGACATGCCAACATCAAGTACACTCACGATAATATTCTTTTGTTTTAGTTTTAGTAGGAGTTTTACAGCACTTGAAACACAATATGGTCATATAAGTGCCGAAGGTTAGAGGTGTTACAAGAGAGTAACAAACACAAAAAAGAAGGAGGGGAGATAAAGACGATAGATGTTTGATAGGAAAGAAGAAGCAAACCACACCAGAGCACCTGCCAACCAACCACTAATATTCTTCATAAAGAGGGACTTTACGTGATATTTAAAGTACAACACATTAGGAGTTTAAAGAAACTTCTCAAAAAATGACACAATTACCAAGCAACAGCTGGGCGGCCAGAACAGGAACACTGAAAACAACAAATTCTACAGAAGAGAAAAAATTGCAGGGATAGATCAGATAAATCAGAATTGTAGTATTCCACAATTCAATGTGTCAAAGAGTTTCATTGCATAAGTAACATAAAGTAAATCGTAGCAGACAGGTTCCTGTACGGTTTGATCTGCCATTCTAAAAACAATTTTCATTATAATAGAGGGTTTTTCGGCACTCGCAACTGCATAAGGTCATATGAGCGCCAAGGGGTGGGTGTCAACAGAGAAGTCTTTACAGGGAATCAGACTTACTCTGCTCACCTCTCTAGCTTCAACAGCATAAGGTCTGCTTCAACCATCAAGGCACCCCGGAAATAGCAGGTCACAAGAGTGTGACAAACATACAAAAGAAGTAGAGGAAAATGAAAAAAGAAGGGATTAGGAAAGAAAAAGCAGCAGTTCCCTGTTGTAGATCAGGCACAGTTATGAGCGTGACATGAATCAGCCCATTTACAATTCTACTGTGCTTGAACGAGAAATGTCCCCCTTTTGGGAATGGCCTAAAGACACTACAGTCAGTGGCACTGCCCCGGGGATTATTCTAAAAACACCTATTAACAATATCACTATCAACATGTATCACAGGCAATTGTAATCCACAAAGACAGAGCATTCCACAGACACAGGGGACACAACATTATCTTAACACTATCCACCCACACAGCGGGCAGAGCGTGCAACGCTTATCCCCACGGACCAGGATACAGATGCGGTACACGCTATATCACATCGTCGCCGATCGGCGCCCCGTGGGGAAAAGGGACGGCTTCTTACCATCGCCGATCAGCGTCCCCTGGGGGCAAAGTGTTAAAAAAAATAAAGAAAACACGATTTCTTGCATTTATTACATATGTATGTTGTCACAGCATCAGCCCTTTTACATAAATACCACAAGTACTTCTTGATCAGCTGAAGAAAGATATGTTTTCAGTTATACCTCTGGACTTTCTCATCTCCAGTGAATTCAGCACTTTTTAAGGACCCCCGGGGCAAGTGTTGAGTTCCTGCGTGCTGTCGGCACCGCTGATCGTTTATGACGCCACAGCGCCAGAAGAGAGAGAGAGAGAGAGATCTCCAGTGAAAATGCTTCAGCAAAGAAGAAAGCAGTATACATTCTTGCAAAACTACTTTGTGACAAAGCCGTGACTGTGACAGTTTTATCAGTTCTTTTATAACCAATAACTCAAAACTATATTCATTTCAGAGAAGGTGACTATCTCATACAAATGAAAATAATCACACCTAGGCCTGAAATAAATAGAGTATATCTTTCTCTTTCAGCAATAAACATACCCGGAGCAATAAACTTACAAATATACACACTTAACTAACACACACATATATGCATTCAACAACACACTTGTGCACAAATCAACAATTCAAAAATGCACATTTCAAATTTCAAAAGCCCACGTCTCTGAAAAACACGTACTTCAGAAACGCGCTCAACAACACACTCTTAACAACCCAGCAGCAGGTTTAACAACTCACAAACACAGTAGTTCCCATTTCAGAAACACACCTGCACATTCCAAGAACACAATAATCCAAATCTCTAGGAGAGTAATATCACTCGCTCCCCCCCCCCCCCAAAATACACACACACACACACACACGCACACACAGATACACACATACACACAGACACATTTACACACACACAAACACACACACATATACACTCACACACAGATACACACACACACACGCACACACAGATACGCACATACACACACAAACACATTTACACACACACACACACACTTACACACACACAAACACACACACATTTACACACACACACACACATACAGACACATACACTCACACACACACATACACTCACACACTTACACACATACACTCACACACACATACACTCACACACTTACACAAATACACACACACTTACACAAATACACACACTTGTGACACTCGGGTGACCCTGCTGACATCAAACCAAGGACAGTCCATCAGTTTGCCCCCTTGTTCGAGTCCCCATCCGCGCCCTCGATGACCTTCAAATCCTGTGCGGCCGCCCCTGTCTCTTGACCTGCGGCGCATGCCTCATCGCTAAGGCTGGCTGGTTCAACAGACGTCTCATGACCTTGACCTTCCGACAGCTGGTCATCCCGACCGACCGGTGTCTCAGTAGGAGACTCATCGTCTTGACCGTCTGGTTTAGGAGACGTCTCCGTCTTCTCCGAGCTTCTCCAGCTGCTGAACCAGCCAGACACGGCAGATTTTGCCGAGGTCAGCGCTCCGCCTGAGGACACACCACCACGGTACACGACACAGGTGATAACAAAATTTAATGGACCAAAATCATGTCTTGTTTATAGTAAGAGTTTTACAACACTTTCAAACACAATAAGGTCATACAAATGTTGAAGATTAGAGGTTATGAAAGAGGGTAGTTTTTTGTTTTGTTTTGGCTAGTGTTTTACGGTACTTGCAACTGCATAAGGTCATTAGAGCCTGCGGGACACATTAAACATTTTCTAGTTTAGTAGGAATTACTTTTGAATTTTGCTCAGGTAGCATCCGAAGCCTACTCTTATTGATTTTGGACCACCAAGAAATCTATAACGTATGCAACTTGCACACAGGACCTCCAAGATTTATCTCCCTTGTCCAAGAAGGAAAGGTGTTAAGATCTTACCTACCCTAAGATTGGGAAAGAAAGCAGTAAGAAGGAGCCAAGTAGTAGCAAGAGAAAAGCTGCAGATAAGAGTCAGGAACCCAGAGGAAGGGGCAAAGAGAGGGTTGGGGGGGGAGAGAAAGTGGAGTCGAAAGCAGACGAGAAAACATGGTTAGGGAACAGGAAAGGAGATGACAGGAGAAAATTTTAGAGAAGAAAATTGTCCGTCCGTGTCAGGTTTCGAACCCGGGACGTATTGAATGAGAGGCAAACACTGTAACCTCTCCACCACGAGAGCCCCCTACAAACAAGTAACAAACGATAGATGTTAAATAGGAAAGAAAAGGAGCAAACCACACCAGAGCACCTGCCAACCACTCACAAACTATCTAATTGTAACAATCTAATTGAAATATAAAAAGAAAGGCTAAAACAAAGAAACCAGTACCAACAAGTCTCTTTGGACCGCTGGCAAAAGACAAAACACAAGCCAGCCAAGGTAGGTGATGAACTAAACTTACACATTGAATTTCAAAATGTAAAACTGAATTTTTCCTATTCTTAAATTTTAAAAATTTCATCTTCATCCTGCAGGATCAACTGCTGCACATTTGACATGATCTATTCTGAGTCCGCTAGGCCATTCAACTTTTTAAAAAACAGACAACAAACAATATATATACGCACTATCAACATTTTAAAAAATAAACAAAACAAAAAATACATACCAACAACTTTGCCCGTTTGAACCACGTATTTCCCTGTTTGCACAACAGCAGCGTTTATCTTCCGTCCCCGCTCTGAATTTTGGAGGGTACTGGTATATGAAATAAAGTAACAGGAGATACAAAGTTACACTGAATTTTGTAGGGAACAGATATAAAATAGAAAACAGGAGATACAAAGTTACACTCTGAATTTTGTAGGGAACAGATATAAAATAGAAAACAGGAGATACAAAGTTACACTCTGAATTTTGTAGGGAAGAGATATAAAATAGAAAACAGGAGATACAAAGTTACACTCTGAATTTTGTAGGGAACAGATATAAAATAGAAAACAGGAGATACAAAGTTACACTCTGAATTTTGTAGGGAACAGATATAAAATAGAAAACAGGAGATACAAAGTTACACTCTGAATTTTGTAGGGAAGAGATATAAAATAGAAAACAGGAGATACAAAGTTACACTCTGAATTTTGTAGAGAACAGATATAAAATAGAAAACAGGAGATACAAAGTTACACTCTGAATTTTGTAGGGAACAGGTGTAAAATAACAATGGCCATGAAGTTACATACACTTAACATTTTTTAAGGGTACTGAAAGAGGAGTACAAAAGTCCACAAGGTCATACTCCAGTTTTTGAATTACAAGAAACTGTACAGAAGCCTACAACAAATTTTAAAAAGCTTATTCCTAGGTCTAAGGGTAGACTTTGAGGCATCAACAACAACACTTTTGGTCATACAAGAAATCGAAAAAGGTAATCTGCTATAATATCAAAACAAAAAAGGTCCAAGGAAATCAAGCTCACAGCCAGGTGGCTAACCAACAACAAGGATGTTAAACAACTTTAAAAAGAAATCTAATGAATTTAACTGTGAAAAATAAACTCACGGAAGATCAGTGAGTCTAGGTATATGTTGAAACAATTTTCCCCAATGAAATCCAAGATTTACGATTTTAACTCTCCAGTTTTCAGTTCCACGTAATGAAAATATGTCTTATTACACAAATTAAATAAGCAATCAAATTTTAGTTGAATAAACAATATACAATCATGGCCCAAGGTTTCCACTCTTTGAGGAAGCAATATCCGAAAATGGCATGTTCTCTTGTCTAATTATCCAAGACACAACACTGAACAAAATTATAGGAAAAGTCATCACAATCTACTTACTGATTGAACCTCATCCGAACATCTGTCATGTTAAGGTTGCCTTGGAATGGATGTCTGGAAAAAAAAATAATTAAAAAAATAAAAATACACATCATCCTTTCATTTAGAGTAACTCAGAAATTCGACAACATTATAAACCAAGAAAAAACACAAATATAACCCTGTTTTTACACTCATATTTTTTCATTTTGAGAATAGCTTTTAATGAACACACTATTTCAGTTGTCTTTGATCCGTATTTTCATTAGTTTTTCTTTCTTTGCACAGCCTTCAATTTCGGCTAAAAGGAGAGAGAGAGAAAATTTGTTAAATAAATATTGGTCTTACATTGAGAAAAGAGTGAGATTTTTCAGAAAGATACCTGACTCAGAACAAAAAAAGAGTGAGATTTTTCAGAAAGATACCTGACTCAGAACAAAAAAAGAGTGAGATTTTTCAGAAAGATACCTGACTCAGAACAAAAAAAGAGTGAGATTTTTCAGAAAGATACCTGACTCAGAACAAAAAAAGAGTGAGATTTTTCAGAAAGATACCTGACTCAGAACAAAAAAAGAGTGAGATTTTTCAGAAAGATACCTGACTCAGAACAAAAAAAGGGGGAGATTTTTCAGAAAGATACCTGACTCAGAACAAAAAAAGGGGGAGATTTTTCAGAAAGATACCTGACTCAGAACAAAAAAAGGTGAGATTTTTCAGAAAGATACCTGACTCAGAACAAAAAAAGAGTGAGATTTTTCAGAAAGATACCTGACTCAGAACAAAAAAAGAGTGAGATTTTTCAGAAAGATACCTGACTCAGAACAAAAAAAGGGGGGGATTTTGTTGTTTTTACTTTGAACATTCTACTGTAAAAAAGGACCTTTTTGTGTCTCCCAATAAATAATAAGACCAAAGATAGTGAATAACAAGATGGGCCACTCAGCCAAAAAAGTGTCCGCAGGAAGTATGCTCTTTGCTTCAGATGGCGCTGCAGTCTGTTTTGAAGCTCTCTTTCGTTTTTCCAGAAGAAGAATAGGAATAGCACCTCCTTGCGTGCGCAGATCGACTGCTGTTCATCAGCAGTTCGGGTACGTTCAGTGCGGAGTTTTAGTTTTTTAAATATTTTAATGACCTCTCGCCTTTCATTCTAAAGTCAAATTAAACTAAGAAAACCATCACCTTTTCCTCCGGAAGAGGTTTTTTGTCAGCGTAACCATTTTAAAAAAGCGTTCTTCCGAAATTTATCCCAAAACTTGCTAGTTTCACTTTGATTTTTTAAAACTCAAGTAGGGTAACTCTGTTCGCAAAGAGTGCGCTTTTGTGAAGAGGGCGCCACCAAATTTTGAGGACACTTTTTTAATTGGCTCAAAGAGAGAAGTGGCCCATCTTGTTATGTACTATCATTGATAAGACAGAGGTTCGTGGCCCAGCAAGATTTCAAAATTTTACTGAGATACTCATCTCAGGACTAGTACAGACAATAAGTATCAGCCTCACAATAAACAAAAAGATTGAGTTTTGTATTCCTTGGATACTTGTCTCAGAGCTAGCTAAGAGACAAATTTGGTCTCACAATAAGCAAAGAGACTGAGTTTGTGTGCAGTCCTACCCTGGGGGGAAAACTTTAATGGCCGGGTGGTCAGACTCAAACCAGGTGTGAAAGTTGTGAGTTGTCTTCCAGGCGGAGATAAAACTTGAGCCAAAGTCTTCCAACATTTTGGAATCTGGGGGAGAAATTTGCATACCATTATACATATATATATGAAACCATGAAGCCACAAATGAAGTTTTCAAACAAAATAAGATAATAAACCCCCAAGCAACCATGTAAATCCCCAAGCACCTACACTAATCAACCCCAATTGAACAAAAAGTTACACTGAGGCAAAACAAGAGGCAAAACAAGAGGCAAAACTCATCAAATTCTCAAACAAAAAAACCCACTGTCCTCACATTCAATAAAAACTATTCATAAATGTCTCAGCCATGACACTGCAGCAATCCACAAATGTGGCGTCCTCCTCCTCCTCCTCCCCTTCCCCCTCCCCCTCCTCCCCTTCCCCCTCCTCCCCTTCCCCCTCCCCCTCCTCCTCCTCCCCTTCCCCCTCCTCCCCTTCCCCTTCCCCCTCCCCCTCCTCCTCCTCCTCCTCCTCACTGTTCTCAAGTGCCATCACAATTGCATCCTTCAGTCAAGTGTGCAGCTGATCTTTTGTATATGGCCCATTTCCCTTTCTAAAACAAACTCTCCCTATCCTTCCGGGCATTCCTAAGGACGCTCCTTTACTGATAATAACAGGATTTTTATCCCAATTTTTCAATGTAATTTATTTAAAATTCTGCTCACACAGCCAGCTTTGGCAGGCAACTTTGAAATGCCAAAATGACATAAAAATGTGTGAAGTGCACACTGGTCCTTCCAGATTTTCTTCTATATCTAAAATAAAATGTTTAATTGCTTGATCGAATCAATTCAAGACCCTTTTAACAGAGGCTCCCAATCTACAACAACCCACTTAAGTATTGCAAGAGTGGAAGGACACATCATATTATTCTAACCACTTTTCCAAAACTACTTCCCTTTTCAAGACCTTTGCCTGAACACAAACACAAAGTATGCTACAGTAGTGGCGTTATTTCTGTTTCAGAGCAAGTCATACTTGCTAAAGAAATGCTCACCGTCAGTCCACACAGACGACAACAGCGAGTTGAGATAGTGCCGGAACTGGGCTCGGATCCACTCATCACTGCCTTCCCATTCTGAGGGGAAAATCAATGAAATTGTCAGCTTTAGTTTTAGTAAAAAGTTTTACGGCACTTGCAACACAATAAGGTCATATAAGTGCCGAAAATTAGAGGTGTTACAAGAGAGTAATAAACACAAAAAAGAACGAGGAGAGATAAAGACGATAGATGTTTGATAGAAAAGAAGAAGCAGACCACACCAGGGCACCCGTCAACTACCCACTGAAATTGTAAACACATTTTTCACATCCAAGATCAAGAATAGAAATAATTTCAAAAAAGCTACTGTGTCATTTCAAAAGTAAGCGCAATGATAGAACTGCACAGATCAGCTTCACCTTAACAATATTCACATACATTAGAGAACATTAATTAGTTTTAGTAGCAGTTTTACGGCGCTCGCAATTGCATAAGGTCATATGAGCGCCAAGGGGTGGATGTCAACAGAGAAATCCTTACAGGGAATCAGACTTATTCTGCTCACCTCTCTAGCTTCAACAGCACACAATCTGCTTCGACTAACAAGGCACCCCGGAAATAGCGGGTGACAAGAGTGAGACAAACATACAAAAGAAGTAGAGGAAAATGACGATGGTAACGATTAGGAAAGAAAAAGCAGCAGTTCCCTGTTGTAGTTCAGGCACAGTTATGAGCATGACATTGTTCAATCAGCCCATTTACAATTCTACTGTGCATTAGAACGAGAAATGTCCTCCCTTTGGGAATGGCCTAAAGACACTTCAGTCAGTGGCATCGCCCCGGGGGGTATTAGAGAGCATTAATGAAAAATAAGCTTACAATACATACAATCACTTATATATAGTCATAGTCACTGAACTAGAAAAGTGGCACCATAGCATAAGACAGCAGTCTAATTGCTAGGCCGTATCCACGCACCAACCAAAATAGTCTTAACTCAAAGAAAAAGGAAAAAAAACCCCACTGATTACAATTACTTATCCTTCTTGAAATTTGAAATTTCCTTTACAGAGTAAACATGCATTCAAAGTATACTCTCCTCATTAAATACTAGTTTACAATGGTACACACATGTACAGTCAAAATTGTTTAAGATGGGTATCTATTATTGGGGGGAAAAGTGGCTGTCGTAACCCTGTCCGTGCGTCGTGTTTTACTATCGTATCCATACGACGTGGGGAACTCTGTGCCACCACTTTCCAAAGAGGAAATTTACTCGAAAATCCAACCCGTACGCTTTGCCTAGCAGTCTGTCAAAATGATTTTTTGAGAAATATTGGAAGTTTCAAAGAGATCGTCACACTAGAAGTATTCTAAAATGTGAAGAATACAACCCCGGGGGTACAAAATGACCCTAGGGCGCACAGATAGGGTTAGACAGGCAGCAATCTCACACAGTGTCACAACAATGTAAAAAAAAGGGGGTGGGGGAATGGGAAATGGCAGTTTGTACAGGTGACTGTCTTCTATGGGTGGCAGTTAGAGCAGATTTGACTGTATCAAAAGAGAACAATTCCAAACAACACTTGATGAAGTACAATCAGGTTAACAACAACATGGCTGAAGACCACGCCTGTGTGGAGTCAAGGTGAATATATATATATATATATATAATTTTTTCTTTCTTTCTTTCTCACAGACACTCTCAAGAGATAACCTACCGAAAAGCCACCACAATATCATCTCCAGACACTTTCTGTGAACCTGAACCTGTATTCACTGACTACTGAACCACTGGAGTCTCCTCTCCAACCCATTCACTGACTACTGAACCACTGGAGTCTCCTCTCCAACCCCAACAAACACAAGAAATAACACACCCAATCAAGGTCAATGCACAGCATTCTAGCGGGGAAAAGTCAATCCAAATAAAAACTGGGTCTTTTAAAGTGTTTTTTATACTAAACAAAATGGATTCAAGTTTGAGTTTCAGTAACAGTTTCACACCACTAGCAACACGATTAAGTCATATAAGTGCCGAAGATTAGAGGTGTTACCAGAGAGTAACATACAAAGAAAAGGAGGAGATACGGACAACAGCTGTTTGATAGGACAGAAAAAGCAAACCACACCAGATCACCAATCAACCATCCACCCAAAATGGATGATTTCAGTCAGTTAAACAAGACAAACAATACACACTCGTGTACCAAGAGCACCTATCTCACCTGTGCCATCATAGGTGCCCGGCCGGTCCTCGGTGACAGTTTTCACCAGATATTCTGCAAACCTCAAGTCTGCTGTAGTCAGACTGAGCTGGCGCTGGAGTTCCCGGTCACGAATTTCCACCTTCCCATCATCCACCTGTGGGGGACCCCACAGCAGGCATTACTTTTTTTATAAAGTTCTATTATCATCATCATTATTATTCTTGCATACAATATTGTTATTACACATACTATCATTACTACCATGACTTTCATTATTACTGTTATTGTTATCATCATCATCGTTACTACCATCATTATCACACATGATACTATTATTAGCTTCATTGCTCTTGACATTACTGTTCTCATTATAATCTAAATGAATATTTGTCATTATCATCATCATTACTACCATCATTATCACATATACTATTATCAATTTCATTGCTCATAATATTACTGTTCTCATTATCTAAATGAATATCATCCCATTCTAATAATAATTAACATCACGACTATCATTACTATTGGGTTTACCTCAATGACAGCATCAATAAGCTGCCTTCTCTGTTTGAACAACACATTTGTGGCACCAATCACAAAGCTGCGGATGTTCACGTCGGTCAGAATGTCATGGTACTGCAGACTCAGGTACGGGTAACACACTGACCCCTGGTGGGAGATAAAAGGCAAAAATAAAGTTACACTTAAGCAGGTGTTTGTTTTAGTAAGCGTTTTACAGCACTTGCAACAGAGGTGTTTAGTTTTTAGTTTTAGTAGAGGTTTTACGGCACTCGCAACTGCATAAGGTCATATGAGTGCCAGAAGATTAGAGGTGTTACAAGAGAGTAACAAACATAAAAAAGAAGAAGGGGAGATAAGGACTACAGATGTTCGATAGGAAAGAGGAAGCAAACCACACCATAGCACCCGCCAACCACCCACAACAGAGGTGTTACAAGAGAGTAACAAACACAAGACAAAAAGGAAAAGAGATAGGGACGGTGGATGTTTGATAGGAAAGAAGGAGCAAACCACACCAGAGCACCCCCCCCCCCAACCACCCACTAAGCAGGTGTGATACGACCCCCTATATTTCAGGCAAAGAGTATGGACAATACACAGACTTCATAGCCGAAAAGAAATGAGAATAGAAATTTTATCTCGTAAGAAAAACCTTCTCAAATACCTCAAAATAAAAATCTTCTGGAAAAATTCTATGGGGTGCCAGTTTTACATCAAGACAATTCGATGGTGTTGGACAAAGTCCATACAACTCCAGAATGACAAAACAGAAGGAAAAAGAGAAAAGTATCGTATAACCACATGTTTGAGGATAGAAGAAGCAGGCAATTTGAAGGGCTTTAGTTTTAGTAGAGGTTTTACGGCACTCACAACTGCATAAGGTCATATGAGCGCCAAGGGGTGGATGTCAACAGAAAAGTCCTTACAGGGAATCAGACTCACTCTGCTCACCTCTCCAGCTTCAACACGACAAGGTCTGCTTCGACTATCAAGGCACCCCGAAAATAGTGGTTCACAAGAGTGAGACAAACATACAAAAGAAATAGAGGAGAAATGACAGCAGTAAGGATTAGGAAAGACAAAGCAGCAGTTCCCTGTTGTAGATCAGGCACAGTTATGAGTGTGACATTGATGAATCAGCCCATTTACAATTCTACTGTGCATGAACGAGAAATGTCCGTCTGCCCTTTGAGAATGGCCTAAAGACATTTCAGTCAGTGGCACCTCCCCGGGGGGTAAATTGAAGGGCTGTTGCACCACATTATGTGACTGTGTTGTTTGTGTGGACACCTGGAGAAGACTGTCCAGCATCAACTGTTAGATTGCATTTCTCAAATACACTGTTCCTTTGAAGTTAACTTCATATGCAAGCAGATAAAGTAATACTGAAATGTCCTAAAGTAATAAAGATACTTCTGTTCTAAAACGATATAAAAATCTTTCAATCAAATTTTTTACAAGTGTATACAAGGCTGCATGTTGAGATGAGATGAGATGGGACAGGATGAGATGAGATGAGACGAGATGAGATGAGACCGGATGGGATGACATGAGACGAGATAAACTTATTGATACATGATGGAAGTTTTGGGAGAATGTAGCAGAACATCAACAGACAAAGATTCAACATCAGCACAAAAATTAACTCCTTACAATTACATTCAAGTTCAGTGACAAACATACAATGATGATAGAAAAAAATTGACAACAAGAAGAGCATCCACCAACCACCCAGTAGACAATTACAACACACTCACACACACCACAACACAGAATTAAAACAAAGGGGGAAGTATGAAGGCCAGCAAATGACAAAGAAGTTCACAAGTGCAGCATGAAGTATTGTAAACACTTAAGAAGCATCAGACTGTGAGATTTATACTTCCCCTTAAAACAGATGTATCTTGCAACAACATATTATTTAATCATTAAGAGACTTGCCTACGGTAACGAAACAGATATATTCGCAAACATTAAATTCAGTTTTTCACTTGTGTTCAGCTTACTCGTAACAGCAGCTCTATTGCATCAGCTGTATCTCCCACTTCCAATTCACAATAACTCCTTAAGTAATTAAATAACGCAGCCTTCCCCTGAACATACCTAGGTGCGCTATAATGCAGCCCTCACCTCAACATACCCAGGTGCACAAAATAACAAAAAGAACATTCTGAGTTTGTGGTACAGAACGCTATGAGAACATTTGTTTCAAATCATCTGTTTAACACAGATTTCCAGTAACAAGAGAAAGTTGCCTTGAGCAGTGTTCTTTCTGGAGCAATTATGATGACGATTGGTACAACAAAGAAAGGAAGAAAATAACAGAAGTATAACCAAACATAAAAAGAGATGATGAAATGTTGCAGATTCCCATACCTTTGTAAATATTGCCAGAGGGTATCCACTGTTATCTTGAGGTAACACGATATCTCCATCCAGATTTTTCGGCTTGTCTTCACTTTTCTCTTCCTTCAGTTTCGACTTACTGCTGACTTTGTGCAACGCAGCAGACAACTTGCTCTTTAAGACTTTCGTCTTCTTCTGTTTCGACGATGGGGACTCTTGATCAGACGTTTTGGTCCGCAAAGATCGGGAATTTTTCTCGCTATGGGTGGGCGAGGAAGTGGTTGTGCTGTCCGATGACACAGACTCCCGACCACTCTCACTCTCACCGGGAGAGTCTCCGCTGTTACTTTTCTCCTTGTCCCTTGAGGCGGAGCTACCCCGACTCCCAGGCTTTGATCCCCCTGCTGGCGAGAACTCATGATCGATGCTGAGCTGTAAGCGATCCTGTTCCCATGAGAAACAGTCCTCTCGGTCGATCTTACTGATGCTCTCTGGAGAGTCAAGTTCCTCAATGATCTCATCACCTTTAGGTCTGTGCTTTGTATCAGCCAGAGACAAATGGCCACTTTTACTGTGGCTATCTCCCGGCAATGCATTCCCATTGTCATCCTTATTGGTCAAGCTCATGTACTCTAGTTGACTACTAACCTTCTCTTGCACTGCTTCAATGTGAGTAATATTCTCCACATGAGCTAAAGGACTTTCACTGCTGTCCACAGGTTTGGTTTCTTCGTCGACAGACTCTTCCTTTTTACTGCGGTGAAATGCGTGAACACTCAGCTTCTCCGAGTCGTTTGAGCTACAGCTCCGAGACCTAGATTTGCCTGCTGACGTTGAATCTCTTCGACCACTTGTCTGAGACAGCTCAGGGCCATCTCTTAACTTTTCTTCCTCTCCTCGCACCGTCTTTCCACCAGCCTCACCCTGATATGTGGTGTGACCGCCAGCACCAGACTGAGAACCAGCAAAGTCAAAAGCATCCCTGGGGATGGACGGAGATTCCGGGGCTTCACTCATAGCTCTGTTACCGGCTGCTGTTGTGGGGCTGTCCTGCTGACCGATGTCCAGAGAGGAGTACTCGGAATCCCCGCTGGCCCCCAGATTTAGCGCTGAGTTATGCATGTGACCCATGACCTCGGCCAGAGGGGAGTCTGGACTGCTGCTGTGGTAGCGGATCTCCATGAAGTGCTCGCTCTCATCCTGGTTTGGGTCCAAGCTTGCCGTGCCCAAGGTCGGTGACAGTTTCTTCTGGCTCCACTGATTGCACGCCTGACGCAGGCCACTCTCCAACATGCCTGAAACATTTCATAAAACGACCAAATTCAAATCTATAGGTCTATCAATAATTCTTAAGACGTTTCAGCATAATTCATAAGGCAAGTAACTAGACCTTGCATTTCTCATTTTAATATGTCTTCGTGATTTTCCAATCTAGAGTCTGTTTTAAATAAGCACTTGCCTCTAGTCAGAAATAATACTTCAATTTCATCCCAAAGAGCTAATAAATGACAAAATTCAAACCAAAAGAAAAAGAAGAAAAAAATCTATAAAAAGTACTCCATAATAACGTGATGATGTACAAAATATAAACTGTTCAATATCCCTGCACAAAATCGACAAGGTAATGCTATTTGGGCAAAATAAGGCAGAAACACTATCCTTCAGCAAGGACAACATCATCCTCCAACAAGATAGAAACCAATTCTATAAAATGAGACAAAAACCTAAACAACTCTTGGTTCATTCAGAATTTCCAATTCAAAATGCTTTGAGATGGGGATTGAGAAACACACAAATTAGTCAACCTGAACGGTATCTCAAAAGTAAAATGACCTTTCGTCAGCATCACCTTACCTGGGAAAAGGGACAGGACACTGAGCAACGAGTGACACAACGACTCCACTGGCGAACCAAACACCAGAACCTGGCAAAGACACACATGCAAAGGTCAAGGTCACAAACAGAAAAGTCACACAAAAAAGCCTCATACTCGTACTTCTTTCTTATGTCAAAGGATACTCACTTCTCAGCTTCTATAACATCTACATATAGACTGCTCAGTGAAAGACTCCTTTTTTTTCTTCTGTTTTTTGGTAAGTGTTTTACGGCGCTCAACCTGCATAAGGTCATCTGAGCGTGTGGAACACACCAAACATTTTCAATTGGTAGGAAATTTTGACTATTGCCTGGGTAGCGGCCGAAGCCTACTCTTATCGATTTTGGACCACCAAGGGATCTTTAACGTGCGCAACTTGCAACACATGGGACCTCCGAGATTTTTTGCCCTTGTCAAAGAAGGCTAGGTGTAAATCGTTCCTACCAGAAGATCAGGGGCGTGGCTGAAAGACAGCAGTAAGAAGGAGCCAAGGAGTAGCAGTAGAAAGGCTGAAGAAAGAGTCAGGAGCCCAGTGGAGGGGGCAAAGGAGGTGAGGGAGTGGGGGAAGAGAGTGGAGACAAAAGCAGATGAAAGAATATTGCAAGAGAGAAGAAAGAAGGTGAAAGGAAACAATTTAACAGAGGAAAATTTTTCCGTCACTACCCGGATTCCAACCCGCAACCTTTGAATGAGAGGCGAACACCTTAACCCCTAGGCCACGAGAGCCCCCTGAAAGACTCCATCATAAGTCATTTTTCAAAATGGGGTATGGCGAAATCATACACTAAGCAGTCAATATTTCCTAAGAAACTTGATTTTGTGAAAACATTTTCTTCATGGCTGATGCAAGCTAGATCCTAGCTACAATTCAGATTTGATAAAAAGAAAAAAAGAAAACATGATCATCAACAGGCTACTTCAATATCTTGCGGCACAATCTGACAAATGAAAAGCCAAAGAATAGCAATGGTTAGAACTCAGATAACAACTGTCACAAAATACAAAGAGCACATTGTCACTGTCAGCTGTTATCAAAGCTGGTGCTCTCTTTGTTCAACTAAACTGGCATAGAGTACATCAGCAACAATTTAACATTTTACCCTCTTTTAAGAACGCAGTTTATCATGCCAAACTTTAACATGTTACTCTGGCAAAAAAAATTGCGCATGTGATAAATCATGGTTCAACACACGTTCATCAAGTAATGTTTTTTGGGGTTTTTTTATAGTAGAGGGTTTTACGGCGCTTGCAACTGCATAAGGTCATATGAGCCCCAAAGCAAGTAATGTGTTGAGTATGATTGCAAAAGAACAAAAATATGGTCGAAATTGTCCCAGACGATCACCCCTCATCGAGGAGTAAAGTAATTTTCTTAAAAAGGCGTAATTCTTGGACAGTTTCTCATCATAATATTGAAAAAAACACAAGGGGGGGGGGGGGGGAGTGGGAAAGTGACCATTTGTACAAGTGATTTTCATGAACAGGTGGCCATTAGAGCAAGTCCAACTGTAGTTCAATGTACACACAAACAGGTGGCCATTAGAGCAAGTCCAACTGTAGTTCAATGTACACACAAACAGGTGGCCATTAGAGCAAGTCCAACTGTAGTTCAATGTACACACAAACAGATACACAAAGTCACCAACCCGTCTCTCCAACATGAGCAGCTTGAAAACGACGATAATCTTGTGCTTGTATTGAGTCACCAGTTCCCGGACAGACAAACCTGAAGATATTAAAAAGATAGACTTGCTGGGAACGTTTGAACTTTGACTTTAAAATTTACATAATTTGAAAACAAAGAAAAGAAAAGAGAACATTTTTATATATCCATCAATCCTTGCAGGAAGATTTACTGTACAATTGCAGGCATAAGAAATAAAGTTAGAAAATAGCCCTCCTTTAGTTGTAGGCATGTGTTTTCTAGCCACTGGAACCTGTAACATTTAGTCTTTGACATAACTGACAGATAAATAACATAGCTTACAGCATCAAATATATTACAGCAAATAATTATTCTTACAAATAAGTTCTACACCTTTTCCAATCAGACTGAATCGTAAGTCACCATAAAAATACATTTCTCAGTTAGAGAATAAAAAAACATGCTTAAACAGCTCAATGTCCCAAATTCATATGCTACAGCTCCAGCAGAAACATTTGTTTCATTGCAACAGGAACTATGAAGACTGTTAATGTTTGTTCAAGAGATTCTGCTTACTCTCAAAAATATTATTTTCCTACAACTAAAGAAGCAAAGCTTAACATCAAGAGACAAACACAAAGAGCCAATATAAGAGTTCATGAAGTAAAATATACTGTACCAGTAACTATTAGTGAGGCATCTGACAAAATGAGTTTTTCTCGGATTTTAGCCCAATGGACATTGATATAATGTCAAATTTATAGGCAGAGTTGTACAATTTATAAGTATGAAATGATGAAAGACATGTCAAACTTGAAGAAAATGGCATCAGTTGAAAAATCTACAAATTCGACTCGTGTTTATTTTTTAGTGATATCTCCATTCACGGATTGAGAGACGTAACTCATTTTGTCAGCACGCCCCACATTTGACAATATCATTCGAGCTTTCCTCTGATAAGACAGTATTTATCTCAAGAAATATACTTAAAACAAACAACTCACAACTGGAAAAAAGAAAGATATCACACAAAGCATAAAGAACCGACAGTACATAAATCACCCGACTACAGCAGCGCATACCAAGAAAGACTTGACTGCCTTCAAGTAAACTCTGGGTCAGAGAAGAATTCAAGTTGTTGAAAGTCTGCTCCAGCAATGAGACTTGGCTAAAGTCCCGCTCGTCAAAGTAGGCGTGCGTGATCAGCTCCAGCTTTGCCTTTATCAGACCAAACAGAGGCTGGGAAGACACAGATTTGTTTTGTTTTAGTAGAGGTTATACAGCGCTCACAACTGCATAAGGTCATATGAGCACCAGAAGATTAGAGGTGTTACAAGAGAGTAATAAACATAAAAAAGAAGGAGGGGAGATAAGGACGATAGATGTTTGAATAGAAAAGAAGAAGCAAACCACACCAGAGCACCCGCCAACCACCCATGAAGACACAGAGACACAAAACTTTTCTTTAAAAACTTTTTAATTGACCTAATTTACTAGGCACAAACGGGTCAATAAAAAGGTACATAACTTGACATAGAAGTAAGCATAAAGAAAAAAAAAGTAACATAAAAAGGAAACCCTTAGTCAGTTGGTAATGTATGACCATGTAGGCTACTTTCAAATAAGAATAACCTGGTGAGGTCAGAAATTATTTGTCACAAGAAGAACCAGAAAGACTGCAACATCGTTTATTCTATCTAACTATCTAAAACAGACTATTGCAATTCTCTTCTTGCTGGCAGACACCAAAGATTTTATCACTTCATCTCCAAATTGTTTTTTAAAATGCAGCTTGTCCCATCTACAAGAAAAGCAATAGGGATCGTACAGCCCATCTTTTTAAAAACTGCACTGGCTGTCTGTGAAAGACCATATCATATCTGTCTCCATGATTTCATGCACCTCGAATAATTTAGCAAAATTCAATCATTTTTTGCATAATTTCTTATTATTTCCCTTTATCATTCTTTGTTAAAAATGACAGAATCGCATAATTTCACATTTTTGGGCTCAGTTTGCATAATTTCAGAATTGTTCTTGCATAAAATACGGGGACAGTCATATGCATGGACAACCAGGCACCAGTACATTTAACTTAAAGCTAAAACACTTGCTCTCTAACAAGAGCCCCTCAAACCACTTCCTTTTTTTAAAAGAAAATAGTTATAAGAATTATCCAAGACTAAGAACCATTCCTCTTTCATGGGCCAGAGAAAGTAGAAGTTCGATTATACTTTTCAACTCACCAGTCGACTCAACACACAAACACTTTTCTGTACTGTACTTCTTGTAACATCTGCAGTTTTGTTTATCAAATTCTGGGAAAAAAAAGGAAATAGGAAAGACAAGGTAATATGATAATAAAGAAATCAACATGAATCTGAATGTTTTTATTCTTAAAAAATTTTTAATCAGCCCAAAAAAAATGTGTTTCAATTCCATATATTCTATCTTGATTTGCAAAAAAAACACCCTACGGTAACATTGTTGAAATACACATATTCTGTAATCCTTGATTTTTGGTGAACTGACAGGAAAAACATATCATAATTTGATATTCTTTTTCTCCACATTTCTTTCTCATCCCTGTCTCTTCCTTGTCTTCCACAGAGCAAAACCTAAGACAGTATTTTAACTCTAAAATGCTCAGAGCCCAGTATAAGTAACCTATTCACAAAGTAAATTTTGGTATTACCAACAAAAAAATTCAAACAAACCAGTGTGAGCCAGGGAAAGCGAAGGCAGCTCAGAATCAATACCAAATACCCGCTGAAGGACAGAATGCAGGTAGGACAAATAATATCTCACCCCAAAACCCAAAGACAGCCTGAGTTTTATGGCACCTCACCTTTGCATCCATTTGTCTGTAGCACGATACTCCATACACGGTGTGCAGGTTATCTTTTCGACCAGGCAGGACAAAGTACACCGTGTCTGGCAAAGAGAACCAGAACCAAGTGGGGAGTGAGTGTAACTTAAAATAACCATACTCGACTCTTTTAAAAAGAAAATTTCATGAGCATCTACAAGTTACAACATTTCACATCTAACAGACCACTTTTTAAAAATGATGTGTTTATTATATTTATTTCTGTGGCAACATAAAGGGCATGTCTTTTACTGGCTAACTGGTGATGAATACTTAACTAATTAGAGACTCTAGTGGGACTCAAATTAAATTTTTTAAAAGAAACAAAAGCAACAACAAAACATTCCAGTATAGTTATTTCCAAAGATAAATGCTTCCATCAAGTTGAGAGGTTAAAATGTGAGGACATTTGCATCACCTCGTACATATAATGGACTGCTGTTTGAACTCAGCATCTGGAACTTAGAATCTTCTTAACTTAAAAGAAGAATAAAACACCCTTAAAAAAGAAAAAAAATTAAGGCGCCAACATTTGGGGAGTTGCAATAATTTCAAGCTGACCTCTTGAGAATGACTGTATATTATTATTATTATGGAAAAAAATATAATTAAAATACATCATTTCACATTAGACTACGAAAGAATTCAATCATATTTCTCCACAAAGAGTTAAAATATTCAAAATACACACTTCCATAACGTATAATATAATATATAAATATATAATTTGTTAAAAAATTACCTTTGACAAAATTATGAGCCCCATCAGGAAGAGCAAGGGAAGGAATATGCTTCCATTCTTCTGGAATTTCATGGCTCTCCACAGTGTTTCCCTCGATCAATGGCGGGTAAGAAAACTCGACCTGGAATAGTTTGGAAGTGATGAGCACCTGAAAGTGTCAGGCAACTACAAATAAAATAATTAAATCTATTGGGTTCGCTTTATATCAAAACTGGTAGAACAGGTACAGTACAGCATAATTTCTTAATCAGTTTGAGTTTGGGCTACTGGTCACTAGTCTCCATTGGTTCACAAAGTATTTTGTTTCCTAGAAAGCACAGATTTTCAAGCTTTTCTTAAAAGTGTAATAAAATACAGTGGAGATTGCTTGTATTCAGTTTGGAGAGACTGCTCCTTCATGGCTACTTTTCTTCATCTTCCAGGAGGAGGTTTGCAAAACTCACTGCTCTTTTTCATTTCAAATATTTCTCTCCCAGCCATGACTGAATGCCACGCTTGCACCAAATTTTCCTTTTGGACATTTTTTTCCACATCTATCTCTTTCAGTAACAGAAATTTGAGCTGTAGAGTGTACATACTGTGCTTTCTCTTCGACATTACCATCAGTTTTTTCAATCTGCCAAACAGTAGCACAGAATAGACACACAATTGATCAGCACACTGTAGGCCTACAGCTCTGTACTGTGCTCTGTGCTAGACAAGTGAGAAGACCCAGGGTGAGTGATGTCATGAAACATATCACATGACAAGCACATATGCTCAAGTTCTGTATTAACTAGCTTCAAGCAGAGACTATAATAGACCATGACAGAGACGTGCTGATAACAAGCCGAGTCAGCGCTTGGTACATCACGTGAGAAAAGGGCCGAGGGTAGGTGAAGTAATTATCTTGCTCGCTCGTTCGCCCACAACAAGGCCTTGTGAATTGTGAGTTCTGTCCCCTTACTTTTTATTTCGATACTTCATGGGCCGGCAAGGCGTCGATCTGGATTACGATTAGTAGACATCCTTGTGTTGTCTAAAACAAAAAATATAAGTTCTAAAGGGTGAAAACTAAAGTAATACTAGAACTAAGGAGAGTGAGGAGAAGTGGGCCGTGGGAAGAAATGGACCACCCCCTGTAGAGCCAAATCTAGAGGCCTAGTGCAATTTTGCAAATAATAAAAAAAACCTGACAAAAACGTTTCCAGGAAGCAACTTCCTTTTTATTTTTAGGGTGGTTTGAGGGAATGGAGTATTAAAGACGTTTTCATCAAGAAAAAGTTGAAAAACTTGATTTTTGAAACTCGCAACTTTACCTCAAAGAGGAGCAAAACAGATCGGGTAAGTGTAACAAAAGTTTAAAAACTTTATTGTTGTTGGAAGGAAATTGGGGAGATAAAACATCTATACTATGTGTAAAACCATGTAAAAGGGTGCTTTTTTTAGGGGGGGGGGGTCATTATTTTGTGTAGGAAGACACACCAGTCTTTCGTCTGTTCTTATCGTCGCTCTGTAAATGAGCCGGCGAGACCTCGGCTCTTTACTCGCGTTGACTAGGCCTGTTATCAGCATGTCTCGGCCATGACCCATTGACGGCTATGTGGCAGACATACATTTGCTACAGCCTTATTAATATATATGTGTGTAATAGAGTAAAAGTAAGCAAACAGTACACTGACAATGTCTCTCTCTGTTCCACAATCGACACATATATATGTGCATTCTTACGTCTCTTTCTTCTGTTTTGTATCTTATAGATAGCACATAAGATGATTTGCATTACCTGAGGAGTTGCTAGTAAAGTATTACATGAAAATCAATCGAAATTCTTTTCAGTTTAGAAATAGGGGCATTTCAGCTAATCTGTAGTCTCCTTACAAAGACAAATGGGAAAAAATTGGTGATTTTGTTTGCGTTCATATAGCTAAAATTTTCAGATTTTAAGCATTTTCAGTTTTTATTAAGTCATCTCCAGTATAGTTACATATCAGCAGATAAAAGTAGCCCTACTACCCCTAAACCCCAAGAATTAATGTACAATTTCTGAAAACTATTCAAACTTTCCGGTTGAATGAATTCTGTTTTCATGCAATCTCTATCAATTATCAAGTATTTTCAGTCAAAAGTCAAATGTCATCAGGAAAGAATGGAAACTCAAATTGGTTCCTCTAAAATTATCATGCAGCTACTATTTGTTGGTGCTTCGGTTATGTTCAGTTGGGCTCATCCTAAGGCCTTCCCCCCCCCCCCTCCCTCCCTGATCACCCCCGGTGAGAATAGCTAATGACCCACTATTCTCACCCCCATCCCGGTGTGAGCATGGGGCGAGCCTTAATGTTCTTAAAAGTAGGCTAGATCTAGATCTAGAGATCCGATAATTGTGAGGACCAGTAGGTATCAGCTGCGTTCTGCTCTTGACATTTCGTCTTTGCATATATATATATACCATAGATCTAGATTTCTAACCTAGAGATCTAATATCTAGTTCTACATCCGTTGGGTTTCTTTTTGTGTGTTTTTTTTCCACTGTTGTTTGTTGTTCTTGGTGAGAAATGGCCTTCACCCAGCTCAATACATAAACCAAATCAGAAACTTATCTCTACAACTTTTTAAAGTAATTCTCTGTGCTGTTGTGTGTGTGTCTGTGCTACAGACTGTAGGCATACTGTATGTTAGCACACACCTGAGGGGAACCCCCGCGGGGCAGTGCCACTGACTGAAGTGTCTTCAGGCCATTCCCAGAGGGGGGGACATTAACTCTTTAACCATGTCTGGACGGTGGAAGCATCCTGTAGTCCAGGTTTGTAATCATGGCAGGACGGTACCACAGTCCGATGCGAAGTTATCATTGTATTATGGTACGGGCCGAACATAAAAAAGTACGAGCTTACAAGCCTTTAGTTTGACCAGTAAGTCCAAGATAAATGAATTCTACATGATCTAGATAAAGCTTTTTTGATCAGTTTAATACGAAACAAGCAGTTTTAAAAACGTAGATGTCAGGTCGCATTTCCCCTAACACAAAAGAAATTGCGCAGAAACGTGATTTTAAATTGCATGGTTAAAGAGTTAACTTATTCGCTACGAATTATTTTCGGCTTGTGGGCGAATTTTTTTCGGGAGGGCGAATGAGATGATGACTAGTGGGAAGTTAAAAGGTCTTTAGGGCCACAAATTTATAAAATATCAACGTATTATCCACCAATATTTTCAGTATGGTTTGTAGAATACATCTGTAATGTTTATTTATGTATTTTTTAACTTTGGTTCCTGTAAGAGGCGATTATGCAACACAATTTTGATTGGATGCGGATAAAATTTGAAAATAGAAAATTAATCATCTTTGGTGAAGCTCAAAAAATATATTTGCACCTAGTCAAATGATACATCAAAATAACCATAAATGAATATAGAACTGGAAAATATTGAAAAGTTTGCAGCTATATAACATTCCATAATATTTGTACATTTGGATCATAACATTTGATATTGAAAAAAATATTTTTTAAAATAATAATTATAATCTTGAAAAACGATCACAAACAGAAAAAAACCCACTCGTATCTAATATGAAATTATTCAGAATTGCATTTGGAATACACCTATAACTTGAGCAGCACTTTTTGTGTAATTTCATCAAAAAGTTGTAATTTTGGGGAGAAAAAAATATTTTGACAATTTAGATCTGGATCTAAATCTAGATCTCGGTCTAGCCCCCCTAGCACAAAAAAAATATTGATTTCTCAATAATATAACAGTGCAGTGGCAATAGGAGTCCAATCGTATCAATATTATAAAAAAAGAGTCCTCTACATTTCTTTAGCGGGCAAAATAATTATAGATTTTGTTGTGTAAAATTACTAAGACTGGTGTCCGGGCTATAATTTTGGCATCGCGATAAAAGAAAGTCGAATAAACTGCGAAATCGCGTTTCAAAATTGAATCTATACTTCCGATTTTCAGTGGAAATGCTTGACCCGAAAGTCAACATTATATTATAATAACCTTTATTTTAACATGGATATATGTGGATAGGAATTATAGAATCTAAGCTAAAATTGAACATCGGTTCTCGAGCCGCTGGAGGCGGCTTAGCGTACTGACGGCAGTTTAGCCGCGCCGCCCCCCACGGCTCGGCGTAGCGAATGAGTTTAAAACTTGTTCTTAGCCCCCCCGGGGTGGAGCTAGTGTCTTTAGGCCATTCCCAAAGGGGGGATATTAACATCTCGAGTTCTTAAGCACAGTAGAATTGTAATTTTGTAAATGGGCTGATTCATCAATGTCATGCTTATACTGTGCCTGAACTGCAACAGGTAACTGCTGCTTTTTCTTTCCTAATCCTTATTATCGTCATTTTCCTCTACTTCTTTTGTATGCTTGTCACACTCTTGAGACCCGCTATTTCCGGGGTGCCTTGATAGTCGAAGCAGACTTTGTGCTGTTGAAGCTAGAGAGGTGAGCAGAGTTAATCTGATTCCCTGTCCTGTAAGGATTTCTCTGTTGACATCCATCCCCTGGCGCTCAATGACCTAGATCTATGCAGTTGCAAGAGCCGTAAAACCTCTACTAAAACAAAAAAACCTGAGGGGGGTGAGAACAGCAAGCCATAGGGCCATAGGCTATCTATTCTCACCTGAGAATAACCACTTCCTTTTTACTTTTTTTTCCATCCTACTTAAAAAAACATAGGCCTATACTATAGACTATACTATAGGGCCACCTCTATTCTCACCCGGAGTGAGAATAGTGCAGGCGAGTCTTGTGGCTATTCTCACCCGGTGCGTGTTCACCAAATTTTGCGTTCACCCTAGACCACAGAATTCTACACTGTGATAACAGAAAAATTTTAGAATTCTGTGCCGTGAACAAACGTTCCATTACAACTGTAGCCTACTAAAAGCGTACAATTTTGTCTGTGGGCAGTGTGTGTATGGCGACCCGCGTAATTCGGCTCGATTCGAAAAGTTTAATAGCCGTAGCATCTTTGTAGACAACCAAATTTATTTACTTTTGTGTTTTAACATCATTTTTAAACTTTGACTTTGACTTTGTTTTGGTCAATTTGATTGTCCACACCGATAGACAGTATTCAGAAAGAGACAGAGAGAGAGAGAAGAGGGGAGGAGTTGATCTTGCGAGAACTTCCGGGCGGGTGAGAATAGCCATTTTCATACTATAGATCTAGATCTATATTATTATTATAGACTATGGAAATATTGATCAGATCTGAACTGATTTAAAGGGTGACATCAAGTTTAAGTACAAGCACAGAGAGAACACACAAAAATTTCTTGCAGACTTACATAAACTTTTCCAGTTCCCCACTACTTTGCCAATTATTTCATTAATAACATTTTATATTAGAAATTCATTGAGAATCATTGGACCAAGCAGTCGACGTCAGAGTCGAGCAGAATGCGGATATTCATAGACATAATTACACTCTTGATTTTAACTTCCCCGTGACATGAATTACCTGGCATCCCTTCTTATGGTGAAAACCAACAACAATAACATGGAGCACGGGTTCTTCCATGGCCGTAATCTAAAAGATGTGTAGTCATGCACACATTCTGAAGCAACACGTAGACTGTGCAGTTTTGTGCAACCAGTGTTTACACCCTCTAATTCATCCTTCTTTTCCTGCTTGTGACAGTCACCTCCCTTGGATAGTGTGTACAGCTCCGTACGCCTAGCTGTCTGTTATGTCGACGGGAAAGTTTTTCGAGGCTTGCGAGTTCGGTTTCACATTTCACAGAAATAAGATAGGGCTGATTACTATTAAAATGCTCTCAACTTTCTATAACACATATATATGCAGTAATTGGACTTTGCTTCTCTGATCTTTTTGTCATAAACACTAGAACTATAGATCTATCTCCTGACCACCTGTGTTGTTTTGGTTTCAATTTAAACTGGGCCTAGGTTTCTATAATATGTCCTTTTCCCTTTTTTGTTAGGTCTCCCCCAAAGAGGTTATAATAGTACTAGGGGTTGCAGCTGTGACGTCACCTACATAAACACGCTATGGCTGCAGAGTGATGGCTACGCGGGCCCACTCAGCTCGCTTTTTCGCCATTTTTTTAGAGGATTAGAAGCAGCCCTGTCACGCCGTGCGTCCCTCGCAACGCCTTAGTCTTCATAGAGTTTAAAGCTCAGTTCAGTTTTATTTTAAGTTTTCATTTTTGTTTGCTGTTGTTGTTTAATCATATAACATACACGCATACACAATACCGCGCATCTGCAGACCGATTGTCATGCACTTATATGTGAGCTTCAAATGAACAGAGAGATATAATCTGAGGCACTGTTTGTTTTTCAAGTGTGGGGATGGAGGAAGGGTGGAGGGAGATAAAGTGATTAATTGCATTTGTTAAGAAAAGGGACAATTTCATAATTACAAGATGAATTGCTTTTATGTTATGTTGTGTACACTCTCCTTCAACTGATGCAAAGCCTAGGTCTTCACAGAGTATGAAGGGAGTTAAAACTGGGTTAATTGTTTAATATATTAATTCGTTATTGTCTCAAAATGAGCAATTAATTGTAGGCTGGGATACTGTAAATCACTCTTTGTATGGATCCTGCGCACACCCAAAGAGGGTTGCTTAGTATCGGGCTCAAATAATTATAATATACTGATAATATTTTAAAATGTAAGACCTAGAAAAATATCCGGTTTATCTTAAATGTTCACAATATTTTCTCAAATTGGGGCTGATTGGCAATGGTGTTTGGCTACACAACACCCCATCTTCCATGAAACCCTTGCTGCTGATGTTGCGCATGCTATTTGGCATCGGTTCCGCAAATGAGACAGAACATTACGCCCATCTTATTGGCCGGTAGTTACCCCTGGTTGGCTACTTTGTATTCTCTCATCTCAACAACATCGACAGTGGGTTTTTTTTGTTTTTTGGTTCAACCAGGTTTGAAGATGTGCTACAGTTGCAGCTGAAACTCCTCAGCTTCTCAGTCACATTCCTGATTCCAGAGGACCGATACGAGCGCCTTGCTGTGATCAGCGGTGCTAAATCTTGACATACGGTTTGAGCAATGCCCAGCAAAAAATTTCAATAAAATTATGGGGGGGTTTTATTTCAATAAGTCATGATCTTCAAGTCCATCTCACCTTTTTTTCTGAATTTTACTCATCTATATGGTCCCACCCCGTAAAAGGCTCCATTTGTATTATTTGCAGATTATCTGGCTCATTTAAAGGTAAGCAATCACAAAAATCCCTATGTGTACATTTTACAGATAGGCAAATCATATGAAAAAGAAATCAACGTCAAATTACTTCGCAGAGTATCATTAATCTGTGATTGAAAAGTGTTGCTGTGCACCGACTTGCCTTAAATTCATCTCCGGAATGGCGGCGCGCCCTTCAAGTTTAACTCTCGTGACGTCACAACAAAGACTACTAGTTCTGTTTATAACCTCTTTGGGTCTCCCCCTTCCTCTCTTACCTTCAAC